TATTATGGAAGAATTCCAAAATTGGAATCCTCCGCCCTGGGGAAACAAATTCCTGCGCCGGAATTCCAATTTTGTATTCTCGTGCCACCCAAGTTGTGGGGAAATTGGAATCCGGAGCGTGGGGGGGGTTGATTCACGATGCACGGAGCGGTGCATGTGAATTCAAAAATGGGCGCGATTCTCTATCGCACTTCCAGACCATCCTTCCCTGCGGACGGGCGTGCGTGCATACCATCCGCATCGAAACACCGCGAGCATGGCCAACTTGCCCCCTGATCTGAGCGAGTGTGATCCAATTGAATCATGGGGGGCCGATCAGCCACGAGAGGAGATAGTTTGGTCGTGGAATCGATTCGTTGCCATGGGACCAAGAGCAGGATGGTCGCATCAGCAACACCGCCTGTTGCAAAACCCGGCCGCGTACTACGCCAACCAATCTGTGAGGGACAAACCTGACATGCATGCGTCTGAAATGCATGCGCATGGTGCAAACTACATGAGGACGTTTGCGGGTCCTGGGACTATACTGTTCCTCACCGAATCGTGCGGATTTAGCATGCCTGATGGTCTCGACGCAGCAGAGCTGAGCAAGGTCTCCATGAACGACGGTGAGTAGCTTTAGGTTAGGGAGCGTCGACACAACACATATCCCTCTGCTGTTCAAATGTGTAGGACACCGCCTCGGTGCCTACATGTAGCACGAGGACTACGTCGACTGCTGTAGTAGTACTCGCCGATTTTTTTTTTTTTTTGTTTTGTCACCGCCGGCGCGCTTTGTGGCGGCAACCGGCGGCGGCGGCGGCGGCGGCAACGGCAACGGCGGCGTCCGCTATTTCACTGCTGTAGTTCTCGCGTGATATGACGCCGTATGTGTGCCGGTAGCGTCAAGGAACAAACCTCCGCGCGGGGAAAAACTGGCATCAGATATGAACGCACGGGTAACATGAAAATATTGCATACCGTTGTTGGAGAAACATGTAGTAATTAGACTACTACCAGTATACTCGTATTATTTTTTTTTTGTCGGCGACGGGTGGCGGTGGCGGTCTGGAAACCACCTGTTCGTACTGCTGTAGACGGCCACCTGAGATGACGCCATTTGTGTGCCGGTAGCGCCAAGAAACAAACCTCCGGGGAGAAAACTGCCATCAGAAACGGCATTATTTCCAACATGCTTTCTGAGACCTCCCTTTCTGTGTGTGTCGCCGCCGCCTCCGCCGCCGCCGTCGCCGGCGCGAACGGTCTGGAAGCCTCGTACGTACTGCTGTAGATGGCCACGTGAGGTGACGCCGTGCGTGTGCCGGTAGCGTCGAAAAGCAAGCTTCCACGGGAAAACTGGCGTCAGATACGGAAAGTGTAGCATATGCGTTTCAATCCTCCCTCGTCCCTTGAATCCCTCTCCTCTCCTCATATTCGCCTCTCTCTCCCTCTTCGCCACCTGTGTCTCTCTGTCTTCCCGCTGTTTTCGTACGCAGCGAATCACAGCCTCTTTGATCCGCAGATGAACAAGTGTTGGACGCGGGGCCAGGAGCAGCGGCGCGAGCTGGAGAACTACACAGTGCACTTCAACAGGTACGTTGAACATCGGAGGGTTTTGTTTGTTCTCGACCTGCTACTTTGGACCAAGCAGACAACGAGTGACGTCGGCGCACGCATCACTGTAGTTGAGGGTACACGTGCCTGATATTGGTACACGCGTTACCGGTTCCTGGTTGAAATGCCAATAAAAACCTTGGGCGACGTTGGTGGTGAAGTTCACAGTCCGGGGGTAGGCTCGTATTGCGCAGGAGCCACAGTCGACATTGTGGCGTTTTTTTGGGATTTTTTTTTTTTTTCCAACAATCGGGGAGGTGGTTTATTGCACGGGACAGCACCGCGCGATGGTGCTAAAGTTGTGCTTCAAATGTATTTCTTCGTGTCTGTTACCTAGGAATGGCGGCATACGTCCTGTTAAATCTTGGTTGGGGTTTTCGGCTGCATCCGTCTTTGTTCGCGAGGTAGGTTATGGTGGCACCTCCTCATTGTACGCAGCTCCCCCCTGTGTCCTCGTCGTCGGCTGTGTACACATGTGCAGCGCGACAAACGAACATGGGCA